ATTTTGAATTTACAAAATTACAAACTCAAACTCATAAATTTACTCACCTAGGAGCTCCAATTCCTTAAACTATAGCAATTCCTTGAGTTAATCCACTTAATCCTCTAATTTCCCTTCAAAATCTTCAATGTTAGCCCTTCTCTCTCTCTCTAAATTCGGCCCTCTCTCTCTCTAGAGTGCTATTTTAGTTTTTGAGCTCCAAGCAAGCTAAATATGAGTGTAATTAGGCCTATATATATACATTCTTAATCAAGCTTCATTAATACTAGTTAATTGAGCACTATTAATTAATTTAATCTAATTAATTTATTCCGAATAAAATTTCAATTAAATTTCACCGTAGGCTCTAAAAATTATGCTAATCATAATGGCGCAGTCAATTTCGATTTCTGTGGCTTTTACGGCCTTCAATTTAAATTCTAAAACAGAAATCAAACAGATTTTCCTACGGTGACCAGATAAAAATTCAAAACCACATATAATCATATAATGACACTCGAAATCATATTACACACATAATCACAACCATCGTTAAGATCAATTAGCATAATATGGAACAAGGTTATCACATTTGCTATCTAAGGTGGTTAGACTTTGAAGGGAGGCTATTTTGACTCCTCCGACCTTTCTGGGATCTTGCTTGGTTATTATCCGAAGGACTCATTAGTTACGTTTCCTACTTTTGTAACCTTAAATAAACCCTATGTTTAATAGTTAATATATTATCTGATGTTCCCGACTTTTGAAGCGTCACACAAGCTCTTAATGAAACCCATTTTACAGGTGACAGTTGTGATCTATTTTATGGTTGAATTTTTTATACATTTAAACTTTTGTAATTTTAGAAGTCATTCAATAGTCTTTGACATTATTAAATGTGGCGCGGGTGAAATTTATAACTTTGTATTGGGCATGAGAGGATGACAAGTAAACTTGACATTTGGTGATTAATAAGGGATAGATATGGTGTCTCCAAACCACTTAATAATTTTTCTATTTTTAGAGCATTTGTCAAGAAAATTTAAGAATATTAAACATTTTCTATTTTACTCACTTAACAAATTGGATTGATAAAAAATAATGACAAATTTATAAACAACTTGTAATAAGAATACAGAGAAGAAGAAGGAAAAAAAAAATAGGATCACAAAAATAGATTACTCTCTCATAAAGAGATGAGTTTTATTTTATTTTATTTTTATGACTTTTATTTCTCCGTAAAAGTGTTGTCTCGTTTTTATGTGAAATAAAATAAATCAAACCAAACCAAGCCTTAAGTCATATTATAATTTTTTTAATTTTTATTTTATTGTCTTGTCCAAAATTATTTAAAGAAAAATTACATTTCAAGGTAATTTTTCAAAAATAATTTCATACACTTGGAAAATTTTGTAACGGTAATAATTAAAGTTTATAAGTTTTACCATTAATTTGAAAGTTCTTTTTCTACCTTTAATTGATGAATAATGTTATATGTATTAATTAGTGTACTAACTAATGTACCAATTGATGATGTGACATAGTTTAAGAGATTGTTTGTATTTGTAATTTGTATAATGAGTGGAATCAATAATAATGTTATAACTAGTATTAGTACACTAGTTAATACACCAATTGGTATATGTAGCACCACCGTTAATTGATTTGTTATTTCCCCTACATTTAAATCGTTGTATTTAAAATTAAATATATATAAAAAAAAGACTTCATATACCTTAAAAAGAAGTGGGTAAAAGTGCATTTCCTATCTTGCCCCCCCTTTTTTGAGGATTTTTATCCTTAATATTTTTTATTTGAGGAATTTATCAAAAAGTCCCATATGGCGAAATTGTATTTCATTTGGACAAATATACCCTCACATCAATTATGGGCTATTATGTTTTCATTTTTTTATATGTAATCCCACGTTTGGTGGGGGTGGGTGTAGGCGTGATAGTGTATTCCATTGGTCGAAGCCTCAGCCACATTCACCGTGATGGAGTCGGAGACCATGCGGCGTATGTTCTCTGGCGAACTCGGCCCAGATCGCGACTTCTTCATCTACAGCCGCCACTTCAATCCGACGGTTCTCAACCTTGCACGCCAGATGGCGGCTCTGGAGGGCACCGAAGCCGCCTACTGCACCTCCAGTGGCATGTCCCCCGTATCGTCGATGCTGTTGCAACTCTACAGCAGCGGCGGACACGTGGTGGCTTCTCAGACACTGTATGGTGGGACCCACGCACTTCTTACCCATTTCTTCCCACGCGCTTGCAACATAACGACGACGTTTGTGGATCTGAGGGACTTGGAAATGGTTAAGGAAGCCATCGTTCGAGGAAAGACCAAGGTGTTGTACGCCAACAGTGCTCAAAAGAAAAATAGAGGGATCCGTTTTTCACTTGGTGATTGTGAGGAGGAGGAGGCAATCTCTGAATCGGTTCGAGTTCGATCGAGAAACCCCAGATCGACGTGAACAATGGGCACAAGATCGACGTGAACAGTACTGATTTCGGTTCTGATTTTGGTTTTGATTTCAGGTGTTGAAAAATCCGAGTAGAAATGGGCACAAGATCGACGTGAACAATGGGCACAAGATCCACGTGAACAGTACTGAATTCGTTTCTGATTTTGGTTCTGATTTCGGGCAGATCGAAATCAGAGTACAAGACGACGATGAAGGAATCCGGCAAATCGTTTCGATTATTGGTGAAACCAGTGTGGAACCAGAATTGTGGAACCAGAACTGAGATTGAGATTGAGAACCATAACTGTGAATCGGTGAGATTGAGAACCAGAATCGGTGGAATCGGTGAGGTTCACGTCAAAACGTCACAAATGGCAATTGGAAAACAAAGGGTCAAACTAATGGAAAGCCGAAACGTGAAACAATCCACGTCACAAAAAAAAAAAAATGTGTCAAATTACTTGTGTTCACGTCACAACCCATGTCTCATGTTTTGAGTGTTACACACTTACTAAATTAAAAACAGTATTAGTATGCTTTTTCGATCAGCGTGACACACAAACACCCATTCACCTTATCCAAAACAAACCCACACCAAATGTCAATCAATAATGCTAGCAGTGGCAAAACTGTCAACAAACAAATTAAGAGACCACCCAGTCACTAAGAAAACATTCAGGACCTTATGAATTACAAGTCCACAAAATGAAATTTACTGATCAATTCCCCTTAATAAAATCATGAGCAGAGGACAAAATGAGGCAATAAAGAAGACAATTGTTATGATACAAAGACACACCAACCTTGATGTTTCCAGCTTCTTTAATGGCTGCTATGATCTTGGTCTGATCTGCCAACTGCATGGCTCCAACCGTTGATATCACCACATCGACCTGCTCAAACGCCTTCACCAAACTTTCGTGATTGTACATATCCCCCTGTTCCCATCAACAAACAACCATAACTCAAAAATTAAAAAACTTACCATGTTGGTTAACAAAATATATTAAATTAAATGAAAAGAAGATAATAATAAATAAGAAAGAACTATTATTATAACTAAAGTGCTCATGATATGATAATATAATATTATTAAATTTTATCTTTTTATAACATTTGTATTTTCATATTATAAATCTTTAATAAATTATTTTTTAAAAAAGCATTATGATTTTAGGGAATATATTACCTTATTGATCAATAAATTATATGATTTTGATATTTTGAAACATACACAAAAATTTGATTTGATTTCCATATAAAATATTTCATAAAATTTAAGTTTAAATATGCATAACATATTAATCAAATGACGAATAGATTCTCAAAATGTGTATTTTTATAATTTTTTAATTTAAAAATTTATGAAGATAGAGTTAGAATTTTGAAACTCAATAAACCAATAATATTTTTATTTATATTATATAATGGGTCACTTTAGTTACAAGAATGTGACAAAATTATGACATTTATGAGGTTAATTATTGCACCCATCAAACTAAAAATAATATTATAACTAATAATTAAAAAAAAATTATAACCAAGTTCCAAACGTCATAACTGACAAATGTGTTATAGAATCTAAATCTATATATATATATATATATATATATTAAGGAAAAATGATTTTTTAACTCCAAGTTTTGTGGGAGTTCTAATATTTCAATTTAAATTTTTTGATTTTTTGATTTAAGAAAAAAAAAATCTCAGCATTTATTGATTTGGTCAAAATCTCCTGATCAGCATTTATTAACTTTTTCAATTCACATGTCTTTCTACATGTCTGCATTTTGATTTGGTCAAAATCTTCTGATCAACATTTAAAACGGTGACGCTATATGCACCAATTAGTGTACTAACTAGTGTACCAACACTAGTTATGATATTATTATTGACCACACTCATTAATTACATTATAAATACCAAAAACCTCTTAAATTAAACCACATCATCAATTCATACACTAGTTAGTATACTAATTGGTGCATATAGTATTATTCCATTTAAAATTTCCTCATACAAATAATTATAAATACAATCCATGCGTAGTTACTGCAGTACCCTTTTCAACTTCTCTCATATACTATAGTTAGTGATAATATTGTTAAATTATTTTTATAAAAAATCTTAAAAAACATAATTTATATATTAAAAAATTTAAAACAAATATAAATATCTATAATTATTCCGTGCGTAGCTAGTTTTCTTATATATAAGTAAGTAATGATATATACATACATGGACCAAAGTGACCCCGGAGATGTTGAAGCTCTCAATGAGCTTTTCCTTAATAGGATCGGAAATAGCACTCTCTCGGACCAAAGCGAAGGTTGGGTGGCCCAACTTGGTGCTCGCTTCGACTATGCATTTTTCGATGGATCCTGTTCCCCCGACGATCAGAATTTTGCTTTTCTCGGCCATTGCTAATTTTCCCGGAAAATCAAGCAAGAAAAAAAACTATTTTGTTGTTTTTTATAGGGGAGCACAATTTATTTGGCTGTTGTGATATATTTATGTGTGAGTGATTCTCTGACCACACTACCCGCTTAGTAACCAGCTGGAGAGCACCAGCAGAATAGATGGCACATGGCTGACCTGCAATAGAAAGAGAAGATTCCGGTGGTGGTTCGTCTACCTGGGGGCACTCCGACGATCAAGTCAGTACATCTCTCAAAGATAAATCAAGTGCTAAACTCACAAGCTTGAGTATCAAAAGCATACCTTAGACCCATGGGGGTGCCTCTCTTTTATAGCCAACATAAACCTAGTCCCAATAGAAGCCTAACTTCTATGGACTCAGGATTATTGCTAATCTTGGACTCCCAGTAAGATTAGGATAAACTCTCTAAGAGTCTTATCTTAATACAAACTGAAGTCTTCTCTTAATCTAGGACTCTTGCCCCTCATCCGCTTATCTCGGATTTTGATATCTTTGGAGGTAACCTCGGCCTATACAAGATGACCTTGGTATAACAACCAAGACACGTGGCACCTCGGCTGACACGTCGGTGTCACCTTGGCCACGTGTTGGTACTTAGAAAATATATCCCCACAACTGCCTCCTAAGTTTTCTTACCTCGGTATTCTGAGGTGATAGAACCTACACTGTTCGTTCATTTGTGCCCCCTATCTGAGATCAAACTTGCCGACCTCAAAGTTCCCTGGACTTTACTGTCCACTTCTGTCAAGTATCAAGCTTCATGCTTTCCAAGCTGTTCGAGATCACACCTCCTAGCCGAGGTTCTTGTTCTATTAATTCGTAAACTCCAAGAGCTTTGCAACTGCTCCACTCACATTCTTTGGTAGGTTCCCGACTTCCAGTTATCTATTTGACTCCGGCGATCTTTATATCGGCATTCATTTCTCTTGGTAGGTTCATAAACTCTTTTATTAAGCTCGATCTTTCATAACTCTTCTGAATCCGTTTACTTGCCCTCTGTTGTCTTCTATTTTCATCTGTTTTCAAGTTTTGAATTGTTTGAACGCCTGGCACTGTTCTTGCCATATCCGCTTTCTGTTGCTAGCATCGTGTCTGGGTCATTACTTTCTTGTTCTTCACATACTTACTTAGTGCCTGTGCACGTGGCTTTATTCTTGAACTTTGTCATCTTCTTGGCTCTGATTTTTCTTTTTTTTCATTCAATCCTCTGGCTTTTCCTCTTTCTAGCTCTTTTGCTTAAATTTGTCATTGTTCCAAGCTTTCAAGCTCTACAGCTGTTTTCGTTCCTCTCCTCCGCTGAAGCTTACGTCATTCTGTTATTTTCGCATCCGTCGTCAGACTTTGGCAATTCTCATTCCGACTTCCCTCTTTCTGGTAAGCCACTGTTCCTCCTGATTTTATTTCTTATTGCTTTCCAAGAAGCTCTGCTTCATTGTTAATCACCATTGTTGTTTTACCCGTTGTTTCCAAATCATCTTCTTGAATACACACTGTTCACACATCTGTTGATTTCTACCTCTATTCTTAGCTTGACACACCTATGCAATCTTTTTGTCTTGATTTCCTGATAGCTTCATCACCATTCTTGATTACGAATTACATTCTTGTTTCTATTTTCTGTGTCTTTTTCCAGATTCTTGCTTTCAATTCTTGCCTTCAAACTCCGAGGTGCCAATTGCCGAGAAGAGCTTTGATCAAACTCTTCGGGAGATCGATGCTGAGCTCGAGGCCGAGAAGGCTGCTGAGAACTCTTCCCAACTGTCTTCTATATTCTGCCATTGATGCCGAGTAGTTTTGTTTCCTTCTTTTGCTCCTTGTACCTTGTACCTTGTACTTTGTCCTTCTTTGTATGCTTCAATCCGGCCGACGTGCCATTTTTGTAGTCTGAATAATTTATTTTTCAATATTTAGGCCGAAGTGCCTTCTTTCTTCTTTAAATGTATTTCTCTAATTTCTTCTTTGAATGAATGTCTTTCTTTTTCTACTCTTGTATGATTCTACACTTAGAATAATTTGTATGTCTTCAAAGTACACCTTGACTGTGCAATCTCTTCGGGTAAAAAAACCTCTGTCACAACTTCTAATCTTGTTTATCTTGGCCTTGTCCTAATCACTTGAAAATATTGTAACAAATATTTTCACAAGTGTTGCTTAGGACTTGTCACTTTCTCAAAGTCTTCTATCAAGACTTCAGTTTTCCATATTTCAAGTTTTAACAGCCTGGTAGTTTCGGCAAGTACGCAGACATTGCTTGAGCTTGACTTTAACTTGTAAATTTTTCTCAAAAATTTTAACAAGTGTTTTAACCATCATCCTTTATCATAACCTCGGCTTAACTTCAGCTTATAATTTTTTCTCAAAATTTCAACAAGTGTTAAACCATCTTCCTTTCGATACGACCTCGGTTTAACTATAACTTGTAAATTCACACAGAATTTCAACAAGTGCTAAATATCACATCGGTTTAACTTCAACTTGTAAATTCACACAGAATTTCAACAAGTGTTAAATATGACCTCGGTTTAACTTTAACTTGTAAATTCACACAGAATTTCAACAAGTGTTAAACATCATCTCGGTTTCAACTTGTAAATTCATACAGAATTTCAACAAGTGTTAAATATCATCTCGGTTTAACTTCAACTTGTAAATTCACACAGAATTTCAGCAAGTGTTAAATATCATCTCGGTTTAACTTCAACTTGTAAATTCACACAGAATTTCAACAAGTGTTAAACATCATTTCGGTTTAACTTCAACTTGTAAATTGTCCACAAATTTCAATAAGTGTTAAACATCATTTCAGTTTAACTTCCACTTGTAAATTCACACAGAATTTCAACAAGTGTTAAATATCATCTCGGTTTAACTTCAACTTATAAATTCACACAGAATTTCAACAAGTGTTAAACATCATCTCGGTTTAACTTCAACTTGTAAATTGTCCACAAATTTCAACAAGTGTTAAACAATGATTTCGGTTTAACTTAACTTGTAAATTGTCCACAAATTTCAACAAGTGTTAAACAATGATTTCGGTTTAACTTCAACTTATAAATTCTCCACAAATTTCAACAAGTATTAAACATATTTTTCTTTCTTCTTCTCTCTGGCCCCTGCATGGCTTTCACATGCTCTTTTGTGGACCTTATAAAAGGTCTTCAACCTGGCTAACTGCAGTCTGACCTTGTATGTTTTCTTTTTATCTTCTAGGTTCTGAGATCTGCTCACTAAGCTCTTCTCTTCTCGAGCTTAAGTGCTGAGGTCTTGTCTGTTGGAATCTTGGATCTGCTCTCTCAGGTTGAGCTCTTCTCTTTTCGGACCTACTCATCTAGACCGAGATCATGCCTTCTGGGATCCGGGATCCAGGATCTGGAATCCGGGATCTGTTCACTTAGGCTGAGCTCTTGTCTTCTCGGACCTACTTATTTAGGCCGAGATCTTGTCTTCTGGGATCCGGGATCCAGGATCTGGAATCCGGGATTTGCTCACTTGGGCTGAGCTCTTCTATACTTGAATGTCATCTCCTTGGGAGCACTCATGCCCCCTGTCTTTGCATCCCTTCTGAAAGGGTCTTCACTCCGTTTATGTCGATACATTCTCCATCTTTGCTAAACTCGTCATTTCCGATACGTTGATCTTGTACAGTGATGGGCATCTATTCTCCTTTCTTTCCCACAGACAGCGCCAAATTGTGTGAGTGATTCTCTGACCACACTGCCCACTTAATAACCAACTGGAGAGCACTAGCAGAATAGATAGCACCTGGCTGACCGTAACAGAAAGAGAAAATTCCGGCGGTGGTTCGTCCACCCGGAGGCACTCCGACGATCAAGTCAGTATATCTCTCAAAGATAAATCAAGTGCTAAACTCACAAGCTTGAGTATCAAAAGCATACCTTAGACCCATGGGGGTGCCTCTCTTTTATAGCTAACATAAACCTAGTCCCAATAGAAGCCTAACTTCTATGGACTCAGGATTACTGCTAATGTTGAACTCCTAGTAAGATTAGGATAAACTCTCTAAGAGTCTTATCTTAATACAAACTGAAATCTTCTATCAATCTAAGACTCTTGCCCCTCATCCGCTTATCTCGGATTCCGATATCTTCGGAGGTAACCTTGGCCTATATGAGATGACCTCGGCATAACAACCAGGACACGTGGCACCTCGGCTGACACGTCGGCGTCACCTTGGCCACGTGTTGGTACTCAGAAAATATATCCCCACAATTTATATTTACTGACCCTCGCTGATGCAAGCAATGATGCACATGCAGATGCTGACATAAGCGCTGATGCAGGTGCTGATGTAAGTGCTGACGCACGCGCTTGGCTGCTGACCACTTCGTGCTTGGTTTATTTGTTATTCTTTTTTTTCTTTTTCTTTTTTTCTTTTTTTTAACATAGAAAATGAGGAAACAAAGCAAACCACCAAGCTAAACCGCATTACACAGAATACGTAACGCAGCAGGAGGGTGTGAGACCCAATCAAGAGGAAGATTGCCATGCAGGGCCTGGGCCACCCAGTGAGCTGTTCCATTTGCTGCTCTCGGACACCACTGGAAAGACAACGGACTTCGAGCAGCCATTCCCTTGATATCATGGATAATGGCTCCACACTCCCAAGGGGGAACATCCTCAGAAACACACAAGTGGATGACAAATTTATTGTCGCTTTCCACAACCACCATTGCTGGACTGAACTCTTGAGCCAACTAACAAGCGAGTCGGCAAGCTAGAGCTTTGCCTTGAAAAGAAGAAGAAATTCTACACTTCTTGGTGAGTCCATCCAGCAACTGACCCTTAGAGTTCCAAAGAACCGTGGCCACTGCAGCTAGATTAGAGCCCCTCTTAACAGCCACATCGCAATTGATTTTTAAATTCCCCATAGACAGAGGCACCTAGTTTGCTACAGATAAAGGGGCAGCAGCTTGAATCTGAAGACGCGAGACAGCTCCCAAACCCATAGCTGACTCAAATTCTGCCATAGCCATCCGAACTCGAGATAAAACTGAAAGAGGATC